GGGAAATTGGTCCAAGATTACTGATTACTAAAACATTACAACCCTATAGCTTTGCCAGCATGGAAAACTGCAGTTTTGTCAGAAGGGGCAACCTTGGGCTAGATTTGGGATAGCATCTTTGGGAGACAGATGAACCAGCCTTTACATGCAGATAGGCCTGTTGCTGAACGTAGGGCTTCCAGCGGTTTCACTGTGCTGATAGCCACAAAGGAGAGTTCAGCTGTCTGTCAAGCAACCTTAGCAAACTGACAAGATAAGGGCTCTTTTTTTTATGTGACCATATGTCTGCATTAGATTAAATGGCTTTTTTTGTGAGGCTCATTTTATGAACTGCTCTCAAATTCTTTCAGCATGTCTGAAATGGTCTCATAATTTGCCTTCTTCCTTGCTGCAAGCAGTATAAATGTGCCAAGGTACAGGACTGATCATTCCAGAGCAGAGCTCCTAGGTGCTCATCTTCCCTCTTGGTTCCCATGAACTACTGCATACTAACATTTCCCCTAGTGAAAATTAAAGTAATTAGACTCCAATGAGTCAACATGATCTATAAAAAGAGGTCAGAACCTGCCTCCCACCTAAATGACCCTGTGCCACTTAGGAAGCACATAGGGGACAAAGGTCTGCACGCACAAGGACAGCTGGGGATGCCCCCACCGTGCAGGTGGATGGCTCACAGGCAGGAGCCTGGCTGACAAAGGAGGTGAGATAACTTTAATTTTTCCACAACTACCTTCTAGTTTTCACATGGAAAGCAAATTCAAGCAAGAAAATGACTTGGCAGCAGTATCAGTTTCCATGTTCCTATACCCTTGGCAAAATTATTTTGATTAACAAAATACACCAACAACTTTTAGATTTTGTTATCATTGCGGAAAAGAGCTAGAGGTAGGTAAGAGGAGTATCTTTACTTCGAAACCTCCCCTTTAAAAGAGTATCTAATGGGCAAACTCTAAGTACGTTCAAAACTGGAAAGAAGTCTGATGAAGTGGACAGGCAGAAGGCCAGGTCCTTTCAGACCTCAATAATTTTGAGCCGATCTTTTGGTGAGTCACCTGTTGTACCTGTGGCTTCCAACAAAATGGTTTTATAAGCCATTTACATAATTGTGGGTTTTACATAAACAAAAAGGTTTATGTACAGACCAGACTTCTCTGCCGGGGGCAGCCCTCCAGAAAGAGCACAATGTCATGACCTACTGTGAGAGGCACCCACTTCCTCATACTGGGAGAACAGATGCAGTTGGTGCCCATGGCGGGCTGCCGGGAGGGGGCTGCCGGGGGGGCTCTGTGCAAAAGGACCAAGGGCTGCCCCATGCCGGACACAGCCACCTCCAGCAGGTGTCAGCTGGCCAAAGCCAAGTGTGTCAGCGATGTTGGCAGTGCTTCTCTGAAAACCTGTTTAAAAAAGGGTAAAAGACGCTGTGCAGCACCTGTGAGAGAGGACTGGGAAAATGTGGGAGAAACAGCCCTGCAGACATCAAGACAGTGAAGAAGGAGGGGGAGGAGGTCCTCCAGGCGTTGGAACAGAGATTCACCCAAGAGGGCATCTGGGTGGGCATCTGGTGGACAGACAAGTTCAGCCCACCACAACAGACCATCAGGGTGGAGGGAGATCTCCTAACACTGCATGTGGTGTGAAGCAATATGGCAGACTCAACTCCGCATCAGCTCCATGTCATCTCAAGGCCTGAGCCCACAGGACCCAAACTTCCTGCTGGAAAGAGAAAGATCGAGATGGACATCTGCAAGGCCCACAGTAGGCCCAGTGCTGAACACTGGACCCAACAGACACATCTTTCCTCTCCACACCTAACCAAATATTCCCCCCTCTGTTTTTTCATTTATAGAGGAAAAATGGCAGAAGGCCAGCCACACCTAAGTATTCAGATGTCGGACTCAAATACAAATGGCATCCCCAGCAGAAAGCAGTCCTCTGCAGCCTTAGCCGGCAGGGGAGGAAGCATACTAACTTTCCACAACATCTGCTATCACGTAAAGATGAAGACTGGGTTCTTGTGTTGTCAAAAAACAGCCGATAAAGAAGTTTTGAGAGATGTCAAGTACGTATTTAAACATCTTTTTAGAGTATGTGTATGTTTTATTTCTGTCCAGACAGATGAGTCCACTCATGTCCCTGAGCCACTAAGCACAATATACAGAATTTAATCAAGATTTACAAAAATTATACGCATGTAAGGTTGCTTCATGTCTGCTATCAACTTAAGCTTCCTGCTAGGCCCCAGTGGTCCTCAGTCATTAGAGCTGAGCTTGTACAACAGAGAGCTCGTGCTGCTGGGTGCCGTTTCCCTGGCCCCAGGGAGGGACAGCCTTCGCAGCTGCTATCAGCATGGGGCACGTGAGCCAGCTGTGGTCGTTTTACACTACCTGGCACGTCTCCCACTGTGCCGTGGTGTTTGAGATACTGACAGCCTGTCCTC